ACCAGGTGTGTACTTTCTTTTGTACATCAGTATATGTGGTTAAATCTTACACCAACTACACAACTGTTCTGATCTATCTGAAACTGTTAAACACAAAGCTAAACATATTTAGACCTAAACTGTGTCATTGGAAGGGACTTAGGCTTGGTATAAATGACGTGACATATCATCGTGGCTCTTGTTTTCATCGGGCTGGATATCTGATATAGCTATTACTTCTTTCCTCTTGTACAGTGATACGCTGTGCACACTAGAGAAACATCACAGAACATGGAGTAACCAAAATACCTGCGTGAGCAAGAACCTTCAAAGAAAACGACACAAAAATGCAAACAACTGAAGCAGGTATTCAAATACATCGAGATGATGATCTTTAATGATCTTTACAAAACGCTCCTTGGCTTTTTTAGGCTGATAGTTAACCTTTTGCCAAAGCATTTTTTTCTGCACGGACCAATATGGAATCAGCTATGATCAGTGCTTACCATGTCTTACAGTCTTATGTATAAGAGCACAATGAATTCTTTCTGCGTGCCTTCAGCTCACAGCTTATAGCCAGTTCTTCACAACTCTAACACCCGTGAAGATCCGGGTTAGAATTGATCTTCAGTACCCCATGCTTGTCGTGAGATGTGACTAACGGGATCGGGTGGTAAGGCTCGCTGATTTGGTTGACACATGACTCGATTATTTACAAACCACAGCCATATAGATGGAATATTGCTGAGTGCGGTGTAAAACTAAACTCACTCACTCACGACTCAAACAATCTCATCGCCGGGAGCAAATAAAAACAGTGAAAAGTGAAAACCTACTGGACGTGGTATTTAATCTTGCAAGTATGGAGACCCGTATTTGATCGGTCTAAATAAACAGATAATGTATTACAGAAGCCTCACCATCCTTAAGTATGGAGTCAGCTGCCTTCATACACCAGATAAAGCTGGGGAGGTGGGGTCACATAGTGGTTGAAACGTTCGTTCGTCACGCAGAAGATACGGGTTCGATTCCACCAAGGGTACAATGTGTGAAGCCCTCGCACTGATGTTGCTGGAATAATATTATATTACTGGAAGCGGCCTAAAACCAGACTCACTCACTCACTCGCCCAGTAGAACTGGTATTAGGGAACCCAGGCGACGAACGGGATCGGGGGTAAGATTCACTGACTTGACTAATATGCACGTCGTAGTATCCCAACTGCTGCCACGTAGCTGGAATATTGCTGAGTGCGGCGTTAAACAACAAACAAATAAACAAACAAAACATGGCTTTGTCCAACTCTCACAATAAATACCTGCCAACCAACCGACCAATACGGTGTCACTGGTCAGTAGGGGTGGGTATTGCAGAGAATTTTTATATTGCGAAATATTGCGATGCGGAAGCATATATTGCGATATGTATTTAAGAAATACTATATGACGTTAAAGCACTCGGACGCAAGCGTCCTCGTGCTTTAACTATAATAGTTCAGGGCAAAAGTGTGTTTTATTACACTATACATGGTGGTAGAGCGAACTGTATTTCTTTTCTAAGATGCCAAATTTAATACTTTCTTAGGATAATTACGATTTATTTAAGGCAGAAAACAAACGGCGGTGTCGGTGACCTAAATTAAGAATCCTCGCACAGGGCTAACTGGCGCGCTGTTCTATTGATGTGTCTGCCCCCCTACGTTAAGACGAACGTTACCAGAAAAACAAATGATAAACAGTTTCATGACGGTTTACGTTCGGATTAAATATCTTCTCTAAAGTATTTTAATTACATCTTTGATTAACGTAAACCATGTGAACGTCGCATTTCTACTACCAACGTATGTACATCCAGTCGAAGCTGAGTAGTCTAGCGACATTCCACGATTGCATTGTGGGAATGTAAACATTGCGAACGTTACCGTGTCGCTGAAAACTTGCGAGTCGAATTGAGACATTTAAAAAGTCAGAAAACATAAACGTAATGTTTCCACCAGTGATGTTAGGTGAGTGAAGCAACTGCAAGCCAAGAAACGGGATGCAACGCAGTAGTTTACTGTAGGAGGCTGTACGAGGCGATGACAATTGACATGCATCGTGACGTCGCTTACATTGTGACGTAATGTAAAATGGTTCGATTACGAGGGGGCACACTAGAATGGCGCAGTGACGGGATAACGTCATTCAATTGTTACGTCATCAAAAAAACTATACCTTTATTGTCTGATAATGTATTTTTTTTTCGATTGTTCTAACCGCTAGGCATCTTAGAATGCAATATATTGCAAGGATTATGTTTTTAACAAAAACTACTTATAATCGAGTTAATGCTTGATTATAAAGCAAAAACACAACAAATTCACTAGGATTGATTAACCTTTTATAAAAACTTTTAATCATGACAAAATAAAAATGTAAGTAACATTTGGCACTAATGAAACAAGGAAAAGAACAATTAAAAAAAAACGGAAATATCCGAAGATTTCCGAGTGTTACGAAGTTTTCCGAATGCATGTCAAAATACCGGTTTTCGATCAGTGTATCGCAATACAAATCGTTTTCATGTCTGAACCGGTTATATTGCGCAGCCCTACTGGTCAGTGCAGACCATCATGTCCCATCTACGTATGTCGATGCCCATGATGTCACCCAATGGATTATTTTCATCAGATTCGATTATTTACGAGCCAACATCATTTCATTGAATAATGTGCGTGCGGCGTAAAACAACAAACGTACAGACGTCATTGCAGTTAGGATTGATCGTATATGAAAATATCAGAGTTATGCGACCTGGTCGCGACGTCCCTTAACTGTCCTCTCGACTGCCGGCTGTAATTACAGAGACTCGTCGAGTTTGGCCACTTGTCTCGGGTTAAACCCCTCCCCACAGCGGGGCACGTGCTCAATGGGATATCGACGGTGTCCTTGGATACGTGAAGATGTACAGTAGCCTAGAGGAAGTGGCCACGACCTGGATCACGCCACACTGACATAGCAAATTGGTCTCAGAGCATTGGTCTCTTTTGAGTGAGTGAGTTGGGTTGTACGCTGCTTTTAGCAATATTCCAGCAATATCACGTTCGGGGGCAAAAGGAGTGGGCTTCACACATTGTGTCCATGTAGGGAATCAAACCCAGGACTCCGGCCTGACGAGATGACGCTTTGACCGAAAGGCTACGCCATACTACTTGGTCACCTTTCACAAAGCTGTCCTAGCGTTACGACTATCTCAGGAGATGCTCACCCATGCTACCCAAAGAAGCCGCCAACCCAGATCCACAGTCACTTTTTTCAAACAGCATAGAATTTAGAATCTCCAGAACGGGAATGATTAGGGCTGTAACGATGCATCGAACTATCGATTGTTGAACTGTTGAATCCCCTATAGCAATTAGTCGATGGTAGAAACGAAAAAACTATCGATGCATCGATAGTATGTATGACTATCGATAGTTTAGTAATTGATACCGTTGATAAACGTGCAGCTTCATTTTAACTGTTTACTTGATCTGGGTTTCAAGTTTCTGGTCGGTTATTAAAAGAGACTGAAACTACTTCAACTTGTTATTATTTCATATAAACTATACATTCATTTGGGAAATGACTTCAAATGAGACAACAACAACTATTGCAATAGTAGCCCTCAGTAGTCACCCCTAGAAATGATATTATTCGATATCATTCGTTATTGATGTGATGGCCCTTTTGACTTTCTCTTGGCCCTTTTGACTTTTCTTTGGCCCTTTTGACTTTTTTCAAATTTTGCCCTTTTGTCCTTTAGCCGTTCTGATCTGTTCACAGAGAATAACAAAATGATCACAACGACCAGAATGATTGCTACTGGCAAGCGAACATTTATCGCCAATACATCAGTATCACAAGTGCGTTGTTCCGGTCAATTACAATTCCGGTATATTTTCTCCACGGTATTTAACAACAATAAAGGACAGCAAAAGAAAATTTTCCACGGTAAGTAACATAGGAGAAAAATTAAAGATAAAGTTATGAACCCTATAAAAATTTAGGGATGTCACACGATCTGTAGGCCTATAAAAGCAAGTTCAAGTTTTCAAGTCATTAATTGTTTCATTCCCTATCAATCTACAGTGAAAGAAACACTCAAATAGTCACACAATCAATTATTCGAGGTTACTGTATGATATGAATCTATATTATTTCACGAATGACATGAGAAATTCTAAATCGCGATATATGTTACAGTTAGTTGTGAGAAAACATCTATTTGTACTACCAGTACCATGATTCCCTTCCCTTCCCTTCCTTGTTATATAAAAAAACATGATTGGCGGCAGTGAATGGGCTTGACACATCGGCGAATAGCTAATTAAGTATCATAATTAATTCTGTTTCATTAATTTAACGAATGGAGGAGTAATTGTGTAAATACCGATAAAATATGGCGATGGCAGTTTGGCAGTCAATATGTGTTATCAGAACTTTAATTAATTACGTGACTTTTACTTTTTTATGCCTGTTCAGGGTGGCTTGGATATCATGACATAACAACGTGAACCCTCACAAAACACATCCCAACGGTTTCGTCGTATTTGTTAACTATATACCAACCCTACCATTATACCATTCACTTTTTCTGTTCCGTAGAGTCTTAGTAATCGCAATTAAACCCTTGCTGTTTACTTTCGTTCAAAATCTGAAATATCTATATCGTTCTCGATAATAGCATTGCTCGTTGTTATAAAAAAATGAAAAGACCTTGACAGCTTGTAGGGAAGACGGAATTAAAGGGGGGATAATTGGTATGTTAGACTCTTTCGCCTCGAAGGTAAAGAAAGACAGGTTTGTACAAATTCACCATTTAAACTATTACGGATAGTAATCCTCAATATTAATATATACAATTACCTGACCAATGTTTAAGATAGTTAATGGATAACCTATAGTAATAAATATAGGCATGCTTTTGAATGGTTATATTGACTAATAATCGTTTTATTATTTATGAAATAATAAACATCCGTTTCATATTTCCTGCCTTCATTTTGGATACACATGTCATGGTGATGCAGTATTCTTGTTGTTATTGCAACTTTTCTTAAGAAAATTTCGACATTTGAAAGGTATTTTACATCATAATTCAGTGTGTGTGAATAGTAGCAGGTTTACAGGATTCATTTCAGGTATTTTTGATGCATGTATATTTTTTAATCGCCTACGATTGACAGTTTTTGTTATAACGGAAGCGTCAGCCATCGTGACCACCGGTGAGGTGGGTGTCAAAAGTACAAGTAAATATACGAATAGTCATAAGTTGTGTAAGATTGACAAGGATATTGCTCATCGAAATTGTTTCCTGTCAAGCTGACAACGCATGTTAAAAATCAGATTGACCATATTATCAAAGCTTCCATGGTTACGTGAATAGTTCCTAATGACTGCAAGTGAGTTTCCAGTAAACTGCTTATCATGTGGAAAGGATTGTGAAATTTAGGACAGAGTGACCCACCCATATTCTCAAACGTGTAGGTTAATTTATTTTTGTCAATGGTGGGCCCCCAATGATGTTGCAATACCCAAATAAAGAAATCACTTTTCACTTATATTCAGTCAAACGTGTCTCATGTGCATAATACGCACGATAGGTAGCAGACAAGTCTTTCAGTGTTATTGAGGTTAAAATAGGTCCCCCAATCTATGTTGGACATGAGGGGCAGCTACATGTGCAAGGCTGGGCGAACTGTGTAATTTTAACCCAACAGTGTGGTCTGCTGTTCTTAATGTCAATCAGTATCTGCTCAAGACTTGTTTGTTATCAGAGTGAAATCTGCTTCATACTCATAGCTCTTGAAACGTTTTACCCAATCCATACACCGACATTACTGAATATTTCTGCCAGTCCACCCGGCTTCGCTTTACATGTCACGTGACTTACTGGTTGACCTTGTGTGGTATATGTACCTATGGCGTACCTGCCAGGTGTGAACTGTTACCTTTCGATTGATGTGCAGGTACGTCTAAGAGGTGAAGATCTCTCTGTGAAAAGAAAAAAAAGAGTAATCTCCATTCCTTGACCGCGATTGTATCGTGTGAATGGGAACTGGCGCATGTTTGATTTAAGGGTCCCATACCTTGTATGTAGAATGTATTATAAAACATCAAGAACATATCTTTTATTGCAACATAAGGTCATCACTGGGTGAAGTTTCATGCTAATGCAGGGCTACATGTGTCCCATTATCATGATTATATGCCGAGAGGAAGAATATAGAGTTGTACACATTATTGAAGCTGGATTCATGACTTATGTATATGATAGATTCCATCAGATCCATCTAATTGTGTGTAATCATCATCAATAGTGTCATCAGTTTTGCTATATTGTAACAACACTGACAATAAAGGGTGCAATGTGTGAAGCCCATTTGTGGTGTTTCCCGGAGTGATTTGCTGGAATATTCCGTTTTAAAGGAAAGGAAAGCTCTTGCTTATATGTAAAATCTTGTGGGAGATTTTGTTTCATTGTCTTTTGGAATGGGGATGAGTGTTTTGGGGTACTTGTATCATAAATGCAGTCCTAGGAAGTGCTATTTCAGATTTGAGTATTTGCAATATTTAAAAAGAGATGACCGCAGCTCAAACAGTTATATACATCTGAAAGTGAAAAGTTTCAGAATTACATCAAACATAACTGTCCCAAACTAGAAACTTGTGACTTTCCATCTCTATATATCCCTGTTGCAATGCATAACCCCCTGACCACATACCAGCCAGTCAACTTCGAGTATTTCTGTGTGGCACATACAGCAACCACAGTGTGTTTGATGCATCACTGAACACATCAATTAAACAATTCATTTTATCGTAGGACTGCCAATTTATTATGCTAGTTATCATGACTTTGTTATTCACAGAGTTATATAAAATCGTATTGATTGTTTTATTGAAACAAAGAACTTGAGGTTTTGGAGTAATTGCTGTAATTACTGTACTGAAGCAGCATTCATTCATTTATTTCAGTAATAAGGCCACAGGCCCACGTACATATTATATGCAAATATTTACAATTGGTGCTGCATTTCCTAAATTTTAAAGATATGACGATCGTAGACTGACAGCGTCTTTCACAAAACTTTCCAGGTTTTTTAACAATAAAACATCAAAGGACTGTAGCATTCTTACAAGATTCTCGCACAATGTGTGAAGCCCATTTCTGGTGTCCCCCGCCGTGATGTTGCTGGAATATTGCTAAAAGCGGTGTAAAACCAAACTCAGTCAGTCAGTCAGTACAAGATTCTCTCTGTGACTGATAGTGCCCACTGGTAAATAAGGAAAATATTTAAGACGTATATCATGATAAACAGGACAAAACGGATGTTTTGTCCATACCCTGCCTCCTTCCTGTATTTTGCATTTTATCGAGTGTTTCGCCGATTCTGAACAAGGTAAGCATGCGTGCGTATTCTTTACGTAAACTGTTTAGGTATAGCTCGGGAAAGAGGGACACTTTGAACTCTGCATAAAAATTTAGTTTGGAACAGTTTGACACCTCAGAATACCATGTTTGTGTATAACAATCTTTAACCCTAAGCTTAAATTCATTTATAAAGCAACCCACATCACCAACACCTTGGCATTGCCAAACTATTCCAAAACCTAGAGAATACAAGCAGCATGCATAGCCATGGTGACCAAAACTTCCTCCTGTTGTTAACACCTTTCTGCCTTGTAGTGTGTAAAACAGTTTCCTAGTTCATGACCAGATGGCTTTTGAGCCCTCTGCTGCAGTATCAACCTGCCTCTGTATCTTTGGAAAGGTAACTATTTACTGTTTTATATTTATTTCAGTATTCTGCTCTTGTGCCTGCTCACCAGGCTAACGGCAGTTACCTTTATTGATTCTGAGGCCTGACTGTTGTGGTGAAAATATGTGTTATCACTGCTGTTTATCAAGATCTGCTTAGAGGCCAATGTAACAGGTGGACTAGTCTGTCGTACAGACCCTGAAGCAAACATATCCAAGAAAGCCAACGCAAGTCTAGAAAATGTGGCATGTCTAGATTTCCTCAGCTAAGAAAGTCTCAGGGCTCCTTTTCATTATATTTTATTTTTGTTTTACTATGAACTTTTTTCAGTAAAATATGTTCATTTCAGAGACTAAAATGTGGCAAGTCTAGATTTCCTCAGCTAAGAAAGTCTCAGGGCTCCTTTTCATTATATTTTATTTTTGTTTTACTATGAACTTTTTTCAGTAAAATATGTTCATTTCAGAGACTAGTTGTTAGTCTACAGGTGGACTTGTTCTATGCAAAGTAACTGTGAACGATTGAGGGGGGTAATTTTATCAAAATTACATCCTGGTTCTCATGATCACTGAGGGGTTGGTGGGGTAGCCATGTGGTTAACTTAAAGTGTTCGCTCGTCAGGCCGAATGCCTGGGTTTGAATCCTTACATGGGTGCAATGTGTGAAGCCCATTTCTGGTGTCCCCCGGAGAGATATTGCTGGAATATTGCTAAAGGCGGCTTTAAGCCCCTCACTCACTCAGCATGCTCAGTTGAGGTAGCGTTATCAAACTGCATATCAGAGCTAGTATAAGCAGCTTCCGTGAAAGATCAAAGGCGCCGACAGTACTCTACCAGACGATAATGTGCACTTTTTGCATTACGTCACAATGTAAGCGTCCTTGTGCTTTAACTATAATAGTTCGAGGCGAAAGTGTGCTTTATTACTCTATACATGGTGGTAAAGCGAACTGTATTTCTTAAGTATAAGCAGCCCAACAAGGGCTAGTATAAGCAGCCCAACAAGGGCTAGTATAAGCAGCCCAACAAGGGCTAGTATAAGCAGCCCAACAAGGGCTAGTATAAGCAGCCCAACAAGAGCTAGTATAAGCAGCCCAACAAGGGCTAGTATAAGCAGCCCAACAAGGGCTAGTATAAGCAGCCCAACAAGGGCTAGTATAAGCAGCCCAACAAGGGCTAGTATATGCAGCCCAACAAGAGCTAGTATAAGCAGCCCAACAAGGGCTAGTATAAGCAATAACAAGAGCTAGTATAAGCAGCCCAACAAGGGCTAGTATAAGCAGCCCAACAAGGGCTAGTATAAGCAGCCCAACAAGGGCTAGTATAAGCAGCCCAACAAGGGCTAGTATAAGCAGCCCAACAAGGGCTAGTATAAGCAGCCCAACAAGGGCTAGTATAAGGCTAGTATAAGCAGCCCAACAACGGCTAGTATTAGCAGCCCAACAAGGGCTAGTATAAGGCTAGTATAAGCAGCCCAACAAGGGCTAGTATAAGCAGCCCAACAAGGGCTAGTATAAGCAGCCCAACAAGGGCTAGTATAAGCAGCCCAACAAGAGCTAGTATAAGCAGCCCAACAAGGGCTAGTATAAGAAGCGCAACAAGGGCTAGTATAAGCAGCCCAACAAGGGCTAGTATATGCAGCCCAACAAGAGCTAGTATAAGCAGCCCAACAAGGGCTAGTATAAGGCTAGTATAAGCAGCCCAACAAGAGCTAGTATAAGCAGCCCAACAAGAGCTAGTATAAGCAGCCCAACAAGGGCTAGTATAAGGCTAGTATAAGCAGCCCAACAAGAGCTAGTATAAGCAGCCCAACAAGAGCTAGTATAAGCAGCCCAACAAGGGCTAGTATAAGCAGCCCAACAAGGGCTAGTATAAGCAGCCCAACAAGCCCGACAAGGGCTAGTATAAGCAGCCCAACAAGAGCTAGTATAAGCAGCCCAACAAGGGCTAGTATAAGCAGCCCAACAAGAGCTAGTATAAGCAGCCCAACAAGGGCTAGTATAAGCAGCCCAACAAGGGCTAGTATAAGCAGCAGCCCAACAAGGGCTAGTATAAGCAGCCCAACAAGGGCTAGTATAAGCAGCGCAACAAGGGCTAGTATAAGCAGCCCAACAAGGGCTAGTATAAGCAGCCCAACAAGAGCTAGTATAAGCAGCCCAACAAGGGCTAGTATAAGCAGCCCAACAAGAGCTAGTATAAGCAGCGCAACACACACATGAATATATCTAGTAGGGCAGTAAACATGAATGCTACATTAAATCCCACTTGATGAACATGGAACATCTGTCTTGCATCATAATGCATGATTAATGTTTCGTGACTAATGTTCTGTTCACAGCTTTCAAATGTCATGACATAGTTGTTGGCCATGTATATATATCACTGCATTACCTTCAACATATCATTCTCCCTTACTCCCTCCAGCTGCATTGCGTGGTGATGGGGCTTGCAGTCTAAGGCAGAGTTACAATGATGTATCTGTGTTTCCTGTGGCTTTCATAAGTGGTGATGTTATTCCTCTTCTCCATGGGGGCGGTGAGGTAGTCCTGTGGTTGAAACGTTCGCTTGTCACGCGGAAAACCTGGGTTCGATTCCCCACATGGGTACAGTGTGTGAAGCCCATTTCTGTTGTCCCCCGCAGTGATATTGCTGGAATATTGCTAAAAGTGTTGTCAAACTAAACTCACTCATTCTTCTCCATGCTTGTGATGATGGTGATGTTAAATTCTTCCTCTTCTCCATACATGAGATGATGGTAATGTTATGTTATTCCTCTTCTCCATACATGTGAATGATGATAATGTTACACATTGTCCTGTGTGTGCTTAAGTTTAGAAGAAATTGTTTCAAATTTGGTCATAATAGACATGCATTGTGCGTGCTTGCCAGTGTTTATGATCCTAAATCATTCCTTTTGATTCAGCATGAGTTATTTAACTATTTGTATTCTCACACCTTTATGGAGAGTTTCCTTTACGGAGAGTTTCCTTTATGGAGAGTTTCCTTTACGGACAGTTTCCTTTATGGAGAGTTTCCTTTACGGAGAGTTTCCTTTACGGAGAGTTTCATAAACAGTTTCACAGTTATTATCCTGTGAATACTTATTATGGTCTGTTTGCAGTGAAAACGTACCGATGAATTTCACTTTAAACAAAAATGTAAATCAAATAAAGTGAAATTAAGATTGCGAATCCTCATAATTTTACCTTGCCAACTGAAAATTTAAATATCAGAATTTTATTAAACTTTGGATAAAAGTTGTTTAGCAAACGATCATAGTTTCAAATCGCAATTATTGGTATTATTATCACATACCGCACATGCATTTGTTTCAGTGTACCAACTACTGCGCTTTACCCCCTTGTAATACAAACCAATAATAGCGATTTGAATCTATGATCGTTTGTTAAAGGAATACGATCTACGTGTAGCTGGCAAAGGCTAAGGAAGACAGAAAGCTATGAGACAAATGATGGCTACGGGTACATTTAGGTTATAACATCGGTAAAGGACTTGGTCACCCAGTCGGTCCATAATTCATAGTTGCATGAAGCCTAAAGAAAACAATCTGCATGTAGCTGGTACTGGTCCAGGAATACAGCTTGCTGTGGAGGGGTACATTTGGGTATACAGGGGTAGCTTTCAGAGTCTCTGCGTACTTTTTGGCATACGCAGATGTTCCTGGGTACTTACTCAGTAGTAGGAATGTCGACAATGACCCCTTCAGCCTGACTAACTAGTACCTGGTACCACTGACAACTGTGTTTGGTTTCAGGTAATGATGGATCATCCAAAAGATGTCTTCAGCTCATTCAACTGATTTTAATGCCTTTTGTTGCTGTGAGTATGAGAATGCTAGCGGCGAGAGGAGTCACATCTTGGCATGCTGCTGTGACTGTCAGGCATTGGATGAAGCGGCAGATAGGTGGGTGCAGTAACCATTAGGGCTCTAACGATGCATCAAACTATCGATGGATTGCAATTGTTGAGTCTCCGATGGATATTAATCGATTGTAGAAGCGAAAAACTATCAATGCATCGATAGTATGTGTGACTATCGATAGTTTATTAATTGACTTTGTGTTTATTAAATATTTATGATGAAGCGGCAGATAGGTGGGTGCAGTAACCATTAGGGCTCTAACAATCGATCGATGGATTGCAATTGTTGAGTCTCCAATGGATATTAATCGATTGTAGAAGCGAAAAACTATCGATGCATCGATAGTATGTGTGACTATCGATAGTTTATTAATTGACTTTGTGTTTATTAAATATTTATGATGAAGCGGCAGATAGGTGGGTGCAGTAACCATTAGGGCTCTAACGATGCATCAAACTATCGATGGATTGCAATTGTTGAGTCTCCGATGGATATTAATCGATTGTAGAAGCGAAAAACTATCAATGCATCGATAGTATGTGTGACTATCGATAGTTTATTAATTGACTTTGTGTTTATTAAATATTTATGATGAAGTGGCAGATAGGTGGGTGCAGTAACCATTAGGGCTCTAACGATGCATCAAACTATCGATGGATTGCAATTGTTGAGTCTCCGATGGATATTAATCGATTGTAGAAACGAAAAACTATCGATGCATCCATAGTATGTGTGACTATCGATAGTTTATTAATTGACTTTGTGTTTATTAAATATTTATGATGAAGCGGCAGATAGGTGGGTGCAGTAACCATTAGGGCTCTAACGATGCATCAGACAATCGATGGATTGCAATTGTTGAGTCTCCGATGGATATTAATCGATTGTAGAAACGAAAAACTATCAATGCATCGATAGTATGTGTGACTATCGATAGTTTATTAATTGACTTTGTGTTTATTAAATATTTATGATGAAGTGGCAGATAGGTGGGTGCAGTAACCATTAGGGCTCTAACGATGCATCAGACAATCGATGGATTGCAATTGTTGAGTCTCCGATGGATATTAATCGATTGTAGAAGCGAAAAACTATCAATGCATCCATAGTATGTGTGACTATCGATAGTTTATTAATTGACTTTGTGTTTATTAAATATTTATGATGAAGCGGCAGATAGGTGGGTGCAGTAACCGTTAGGGCTCTAACGATGCATCAGACAATCGATGAATTGCAATTGTTGAGTCTCCAATGGATATTAATCGATTGTAGAAGCGAAAAACTATCGATGCATCGATAGTATGTGTGACTATCGATAGTTTATTAATTGACTTTGTGTTCTTTAAATATTTATGATGAAGTGGCAGATAGGTGGGTGCAGTAACCATTAGGGCTCTAACGATGCATCAGACAATCGATGGATTGCAATTGTTGAGTCTCCGATGGATATTAATCGATTGTAGAAACGAAAAACTATCAATGCATCGATAGTATGTGTGACTATCGATAGTTTATTAATTGACTTTGTGTTTATTAAATATTTATGATGAAGCGGCAGATAGGTGGGTGCAGTAACCATTAGGGCTCTAACAATCGATCGATGGATTGCAATTGTTGAGTCTCCGATGGATATTAATCGATTGTAGAAGCGAAAAACTATCGATGCATCCATAGTATGTGTGACTATCGATAGTTTATTAATTGACTTTGTGTTTATTAAATATTTATGATGAAGTGGCAGATAGGTGGGTGCAGTAACCATTAGGGCTCTAACAATCGATCGATGGATTGCAATTGTTGAGTCTCCGATGGATATTAATCGATTGTAGAAACGAAAAACTATCGATGCACCGATAGTATGTGTGACTATCGATAGTTTATTAATTGACTTTGTTTTATTAAATATTTATGTTGTTTTGTGTTTGTGTTTTGTTTGTCTGCAGACATGACTTCATTGAGTTTATGTTTTAACTTTCCACTTGATCTGGGTTTCAAGTTTCTTGTCAGTTATTAAGAGAGACTAAAACTTCTTCAACTTATGTTTATTTCATTTAAACTATACATTCATTTGGGAAATGACTTCATATGAGACAATTCAAGGAGAAAAACTATTGGTGGCAATAAACTCTCGCTATCGCAATGGTATGTTGCAATAGACTATTGTTATCGCAATAGTGGTTTCCCCCCAATAGTCACCTCTAGTAACCATGGTAACGTATCAGTGAACTATCTGTGTAAAGTATTCTCTCCAGACAAACTGGTATGTTATGTATATGTACTTACGTAAATTCTGTTCTCGAAGCCATGGTTGTTCTCGGAGCCATCGAATATTTCTGGGTTATGTTACAAAACAACAAAAAACAAAGTCAGCTATAGTAAATGGTTCTTATAGGTGTTCTTGATTCAATCAAGGCGCCCTGTTATCTTCAAACAGAAGTACTGTGTGCTGGAGTATAATGTATTAATTTAGGTACTCTTTCTTCAACTCTTGAAGATCCGGGTTAGAATTGATCTTCAGTAACCCATGCTTGTCTTAAAAGGCAACTAACGGGATCAGGTGGTCAGGCTAGGTGACTTGGTTGACACATGTCATCTGTTCCCAATTGCATGGATCGATGCTGTTGATCACTGGATTGTCTGGTCCAAACTCTATTATTTACAGACTGCTGCCATATTGCTGGAATATTGCTGAGAATTTTTAGAATTAGAAAAACATAAAAAAATTGAAAAATATTGAATAAGTCAAAGGTCATTGCATTTACCTTTTGACATTTCATGCCCAAATGCAGTGACTTAATTTCCAGGATATCAAAGACTTAACTGATAGCTGTAAATAATTTTGTCATGCCCAATTCCATTGACTGAACTTCCAGGATTTCAAAGACTTTTAAGTGATCAAGGCTGTAAATGGTTATGTCATGCCCCAACGCATTGATTTCATGAATGTATAGTGATCCTAGCTGTAAATATCGCAGGGATTGGGAAAGGCAGGGGCCATGGGCCATTTTGCACATTAGAATATGAAATGGCCCATTAAAATTTTGAAGTTTACTTTTGATACAAGGACAGTGGCCCATTCTAAATTCAGAAAATTGCTTATAATCCTGAAAATGGCCCATTGTCAAAGTTCCCTATCCCAATCCCTAAAATAGTCACAGTTATCATTCTCTATCCAAATGTTTCAGATGCATAACGTGTCGACCAGTATCCAACTCCACAATGCAGCAGATCATTTCAATGTTTGCTGACCGCTGTCGATTCCCATGGTGCTCTGGAAAGGGTGCAGTAAAGATCCGGATGGACACCATTACCCCCATAGTCATGGTACCTGTGTGTCTTCTCATCGGGACGATCAGCTTCTTTGCCACAGTGATGATGCTTATGTTCATGCCAATGTTTATGCTGACGTTTTACTTCATATGGAAACGGACGGGGGAATCATCAAACACAATTCTTCTTTCTCTGGGGTTGTACATCTGTTGTTTTCTGTGTCCTCATCTTCATTGCTTGTGTGATTCCGTTCCGAGAAATTCTGCTCTGGGAGATCCTCCTCCTGTCCACGTCGGTTGTGTTGATGTTTTATTATCTGAGCAAAGTTCGACGGAACCCTGGACGATTTAAAACACAGCTCCTCAGACATAGGGAGATGAAGACAAAGTATCTCCCCAATGGTGATAGTAAACGTGAAAATGGGGATATTGAAATAAAAATGAATGGTAGTGGACAAAATGTGTATAATGAGATACCAAGTCTGGCATCATCTGTCATGGAGGACTCCTTTCTCTCGGGCTCAGCAAGTCACATGGGTGGATTCTCGGCCAATCAAAGGTGAGAAGTTGTGTTGGGAAGAAGGTTACATTTCAAGATTTTATGTGCAATCCATGATCAGTTTTGACGTTGGTTCAAAATAGTTTGTTAACACCCTCTGCCAAGGCTCGAGAATTATGAAATCAATGTAAGTTTGGAAAGATAATAGATGTACAACATGGGGCGCGGTGGACGAGCGATCTGAGGCACCAGAGTAGTTATCCAGCGAGCTTGAGGTACCGGGATTGGGCCCACCGCCGACTGAGTGTAAAACCTTCGAGTCAATTTTGTGTGCAGACTCTTTCAGTGTTGTCACAACCCCTAGTTACCTGTGAAGGTCCGGGTTAGAATATTGATCTTCAGTAACCCATGCTTGTCTACTAACGAGATTGGGTGGTCCGGCATGCTGATGTGGATGACACATGTCATTGGTTCCCGATTGCGCAGATCGAAGCTCATGCGCTTGATCACCGGATTGTCTGGTCGAGACTCGAATATTTAAAGTCTGCCACCATATAGCTGTAATATTGCTGGGTGTGGCGTAAAACTGAACTCACTCACTCACATCCCCTAGTGTACAGTACACAACCCTGTGCACTTAAAAGAACCCACAAATCCGTCGGTAAATGACCATGAATATGTGCAAACAGTTAGTTGCGGGAACAGCAACGTGCAGTAAACTTGTACAAAGTACTGTGACTATGTGTCCCAGTCCACCCAGCTGTGAATGGGTACCTCGTAATGATGGGAAAGCCACTTTAACTCGGTGCGCCTAAATGACTGCAAGAGTTGTATGGTCCCCTGGAGTTGAGATTGAAAAATACGATGTGCCATTGAGGTTGACATCCAATGCTCAAGGGAAAAACAAAGTGCCTTTGAGCAGCTGAGCTGAGCTGGATATTGGAGCTATACAAATATCATAATACAGTCAGGCCGCGATAGTCCGGACTCCGATAATCCGATTCCCACGATATCCGAATGGTAGCTGGCTGTAACTAATCTTGTTTACTATGTAAACTCATTAACTGTTGATTCATTAATCTGGTGCTTCACTCTCCGGATCAGGACGTTAATTAGCTGTAACGGATTAGCTAATTACACTTGGTTTTGCTTCATTAATCCGGTGGTACATCAATAAGGTTCGTATAATCCACTAACCTTCTGAGCACCATTGATTAGGGCTGATCTTCACCGGTAAACCTCAATGGTAATTGATAAGTGAGGTCACACTTCTGAGTTGAACATGGCGTTAGTTTGTGATTTTAATCAATTAGTAGGTCTGACGTTTTGTTAGTTTGAATAAAACCTCTCATGCTTACTTGCTGCACTTACTTCTACTGTAGTGGTGTATGTAATGGTTCGTTTCAGTAGTCCGTACGTTTCACTATCCAAACGTTTTTGATAAAAACGGAAGTGTGCGGCTTAACGCGGCTTGACTGTATATATAGTTTGTCATCCCCTGTCACTCGGTAGTTATTGTCTAAATCTTTCTAACCTACAGTCCGTTTGATTTCATTTGAGATCGATGACAGACCAACTCTGATGATTTTGGACACCCGAATAAAAATGTTGTTTAACAAACAATCATTATTTTGTTGTCACTTTTCGCTATGTCTTATGAGGGGGGACCACTTGCTGGTAGAACAGCCAGGTCTGTCGATTTCATGTGACAGTGCAAAATGTGGTTTTGTTGCAATTATTCGATTTTGTGTTAGTAATTCATTGGTCTCAAATGAAGTCAAACAGACTATGTATGAAAATTCATGTGCCCAGGATCTGGAAATGAGTAAAATGTAGTAGACATTTTGGTTAGTGTAGTACTATTGTTTGGATCTGTTGTTTTTTTTATCATGGCCTATGGAAACTAAAGGGTCATGGTCTTAGGTTGATTGCAGATCATTGCATCCTGATCCTATTGGATGTTGGTCATGTTGACCACTGAATTGTCGGGACCAGTCAGGATTATTTACAGGCCGCGGTCATATATCTGGAATAGTACTGAGTGTGATGATAACAACATACGAACTGTTATTGACCTGTGACTTGAAGTGTTTGTGTTCCAGAGGGGCACCTGCAGATGCAGTGCAATGACTGCAACACTCACCGACCTGCACGCTCAGGCCACTGCACTGTGTGCAGATCTTGCATCTCTGTCCGTGATCACCACTGTGTCTGGTATGTTGGATTTCAATAGAGCGCTTCCTTGTCAGTGAATAACTGGTGCCCAGAAACCTGTGTTTGTAAGAGCACTCAGCAGTATTGAAGAATTATTCCCCATTAACCTGTGCTTGTGAGAGCACTCACCAGTATTGAAGAATTATTCCCCATTAACCTGTGCTTGTGAGAGCACTCACCAGTATTAAAGAATTATTCCCCATTAACCTGTGCTTGTGAGAGCACTCACCAGTATTGAAGAATTATTCCCCATTAACCTGTGCTTGTGAGAGCACTCACCAGTATTGAAGAATTATTCCCCATTAACCTGTGCTTGTGAGAGCACTCACCAGTATTGAAGAATTTGTCCCCACTAATCTGTGCTTGTAAGAGCACTTCATATTGTTGAAGAATTGGTCCCCACTAATCTGTGCTTGTGAGAGCACTACATATTGTTAAAGAAATGGTCCCCTGTAACCTGAGCTTGTAAGAGCACTACATATTGTTGAAGAATTGGTCCCCACTAATCTGTGCTTGTAGGAGCACTACATATTGTTGAAGAAATGGTCCCCAGTAACCTGTGCTTGTAAGAGTACTCACCAGTATTGAAGAATTGGTCCCCAGTAATCTGTGCTTGTGAGAGCACTACATATTGTTGAAGAAATGGTCCCCAGTAACCTGTACTTGTGAAAGCACTACATATTGTTGAAGAAATGGTCCCCAGTAACCTGTACTCTGTGAGACCACTACATATTGTTGAAGAAATGGTCCCCTGTAACCTGAGCTTGTAAGAGCACTACATATTGTTGAAGAATTGGTCCCCACTAATCTGTGCTTGTGAAAGCACTACATATTGTTGAAGAAATGGTCCCCAGTAACCTGTGCTTGTAAGAGTACTCACCAGTATTGAAGAATTGGTCCCCACTAATCTGTGCTTGTAAGAGCACTTCATATTGTTGAAGAATTGGTCCCCACTAATCTGTGCTTGTGAGAGCACTACATATTGTTGAAGAAATGGTCCCCTGTAACCTGAGCTTGTAAGAGCACTACATATTGTTGAAGAATTGGTCCCCACTAATCTGTGCTTGTAGGAGCACTACATATTGTTGAAGAAATGGTCCCCAGTAACCTGTGCTTGTAAGAGTACTCACCAGTATTGAAGAATTGGTCCCCAGTAATCTGTGCTTGTGAGAGCACTACATATTGTTGAAGAAATGGTCCCCAGTAACCTGTACTTGTGAAAGCACTACATATTGTTGAAGAAATGGTCCCCAGTAACCTGTACTTGTGAGACCACTACATATTGTTGAAGAAATGGTCCCCTGTAACCTGAGCTTGTAAGAGCACTACATATTGTTGAAGAATTGGTCCCCACTAATCTGTGCTTGTGAAAGCACTACATATTGTTGAAGAAATGGTCCCCAGTAACCTGTGCTTGTAAGAGTACTCACCAGTATTGAAGAATTGGTCCCCACTAATCTGTGCTTGTAAGAGCACTTCATATTGTTGAAGAATTGGTCCCCACTAATCTGTGCTTGTGAGAGCACTACATATTGTTGAAGAAATGGTCCCCTGTAACCTGAGCTTGTAAGAGCACTACATATTGTTGAAGAATTGGTCCCCACTAATCTGTGCTTGTAGGAGCACTACATATTGTTGAAGAAATGGTCCCCAGTAACCTGTGCTTGTAAGAGTACTCACCAGTATTGAAGAATTGGTCCCCAGTAATCTGTGCATTTGAGAGCACTACATATTGTTGAAGAAATGGTCCCCGGTAACCTGTACTTGTGAAAGCACTACATATTGTTGAAGAAATGGTCCCCAGTAACCTGTACTTGTGAGACCACTACATATTGTTGAAGAAATGGTCCCCTGTAACCTGAGCTTGTAAGAGCACTACATATTGTTGAAGAATTGGTCCCCACTAATCTGTGCTTGTGAAAGCACTACATATTGTTGAAGAAATGGTCCCCAGTAACCTGAGCTTGTAAGAGTACTCACCAGTATTGAAGAATTGGTCCCCACTAACCTGTGCTTGTAAGAGCACTACATATTGTTGAAGAATTGGTCCCCAGTAACCTGTGCTTGTGAAAGCACTACATATTGTTGAAGAATTGGTCCCCAGTAACCTGTGCTTGTGAAAGCACTACATATTGTTGAAGAAATGGTCCCCGGTAACCTGTGCTTGTGAAAGCACTACATATTGTTGAAGAAATGGTCCCCGGTAACCTGTGCTTGTGAAAGCACTACATATTGTTGAAGAAATGGTCCCCGGTAACCTGAGCTTGTAAGAGTACTCACAAGTATTAAAGAATTGGTCCCCAGTAATCTGTGCTTGTGAGAGCACTACATATTGTTGAAGAATTGGCCCCCAGGAACCCATGTTTGTCAGAGCACTCATTATTAGTGACGGTTTGGTCCCCAGTATCCTTTACTTGTGACAGTGTTAGTGTGTTGTTTTGTACAGTGGCACCCTGTGTTGCTAAATCAGGTCCTCGAGAAGTTCTCATCATCATCATCTAAATTTTGAATTCTAAAAAAGAATACAGCCTGATGAACGACTTATCTCAGTAACTTGCAATAACTGACCTTGATTTTCAATTACATGTTTCTGTTTGTACAGGGTCGATAACTGTATCGGGGCCAACAACCACCGGTCGTTTTTGGCGGCGATGTTATTGTTTATATTCTGTGGTTGCTATGGTTCCCACTTGACCCTGACCACGGTGTGCACCCCGGAGATGTACCTGGACTGGTTCCTTCTGCCCAGTGACTGCCGGTTCCTCTACGGAGACATCCAGTGAGTGGGAGTTGCTATGGTTATCATGGTCCAGGATTCTAGGGTCCCTAGTTTCCCTTGTATGGTCCTAGTGCTCCTCACATGCACATTGGACACTGATCAGGGCTCCAGATAACGGACCAATTGGTGTATGTACGGATAAAACATATTCATGATATGGTAGGAAATAATTTAGAAAATGCAGCAGATACGCATCACGGCAATGGTGTACGGTCTTAGAATCGGTAACAGGCGTATTTATCTGAAAAAGTATTGTTTTATTATTTATTGACCTGTTTACACAAGACTAGCATTGTTGTGGTGCATATATGAAATGAAACACAAGATTACTGATATGCCATTAAATTCCATTCAGTACTCTAAATGTACTCTTAAAGGTCACATGCAACCAAAAAATCAAACATAATTAAGACACAATTATCACTTCTTCATGACATATAATATGCATTGCTGATTATGAAAAAACAAATAAACAAAATTATAAGCGTATAATCGCAAATCAAAAGTGCAATATTTTGTACTTGGGTTTACCTCCCTCGAAACGAAGCAGCCGGGATACCGAACCCAGTCAGAGCGGGTGGGTGTGCACTCAAGTGTAACGGCTGGTTCATTAGTAGATGCCGCCTTCACGGTTCATTGTGTGTGTATATATAGAAAGTTGGGTTTTGTAAATACATGCTCATTTTTTGTGTATAACATTTTGCAATCAACAGACATCATAACATGTCATGTGTTCAAGTATCACACCTGCCTGTCTGTGTAATTACATAATGTGACAGAGACCGAACTCGGGCCATAAATCAATGCGTTTTATTTATGGTGTATAGCCTGATTGGTGTTAAGTTCAAATTGCATGTGGTCAGTGATCACAGTTGTGTATTGAATATTGTCATTAGCAGACAGGCACGCAGACACACAGGTGTCAATAAAACAAGACATTGAGTTTTGTCTGTGACAGCGACATATCTATATCACAGTTAAAAATTGTGTCAACTCTAAATAATGACATTGCTTTTAAGTATCGAACTGAGAAAGTGACTCGGTAAGAAGAACGTGTGCTGAAATAGACAAATGAAATTATATAAACAGTTTATTTACTGTCATAACATACAAAAGCTTCGCCTGTGAGATATCAACAAAACATTATGAAAATAGCTCACACCAAAGCCTTCACCGGTATTCACCAGACAGCCCGCTTCCAAGTTACGCGAACCTATTTCACTGCGCACGTGCTATGAGCGCAGCCCAGCTGTTGAAGCCCGTATTCCCCAGAAATGTCTGGGGAAAATTAGTGAAACGTTTGAACTCCGATTTCGCGCGTTTTTTTTCATCGCGTTATTTATCAACTTTATAAGTTGAATTTGCATTTTTGACGCTTTGTTTCGGTAAGTCCATACCGAAAGGTATCAGAATCTGCAAAGTTGTGTTTTACGTTGCATGTGACCTTTAAGTTTTTCCAGTACTCCTATATCGAAAAAAAAAAGGGAGTATGTACTCCTGATGTTGGAAAATTATCTGGAGCCCTGCTGATACTGTGAATCTGTCAAAATCATAGGCAGTTTATTTTGGGCATGGTATATATGTTTGCTTGAATGTCTGTTGTGTGTTTAGTAGTGTTAGGAATTGGTTGAAATCTGACAACTGATGATTCGTTCAATACCAGCAAGCAATCATCGAAACATTTGGTTAGCGTCATTTTCTAGAATTTCCTCTTCAGGTTATTACAGGTCATTCTCTTCCCACAGAGGTTACTTGTCATATCTTCCTACGAACCTCTGTTCTAATACGGCCCTTTCATGGTACGAGTGTTCAGGATTCGTGATAGGTTGCAATCAGATTTAGTTGTGCAATCAGCGACGTTGTTTCAAAAGTCATCATTCGCAAGGCCTCGGTAACTTCCGTAGGCTTCGGGAAAACTAGAACCTCTTCCTATACGTGATGCTCAAACGTTTCTTCTAGACAGAACTCAGTCATGTAATGGCAGATATATATCAATGGCGTCTCCATCGCCCTCGTTGACAACGGACAAGCTAGGCATTAAATGTCTTGTGTGTCACATCAACACCTGTCCCCAGCAGAGGAGGGATATTTGTGGCCCCATATTTGCTTCCCTTAGTCAAGTTGGATCTAAGTCGATGTAACACGTGTTCTGATTGGATAGAAAGAAGGGAGATAATTCATGTTGCGATTTTTTGCCGCTAGGGGATTTTACGAGAACCGGGAAATATTGCCCCATTAGAACAGAGGTTTGTAGGAAGATATGACAAGTATGATTGCAGATAAGTATAAAGAAAAAACGTTGTTTCTCTGTTGTTTTTTTTTTTTTATATTTAGAAACTGCGCAGATTTCGCATCCAATGTAAAATGATGCAACTTGCTACTCTTAACTGATGACTAATATGTAATAAACTTAAACTACCCAGAGTTTTCAAGAAATATTCGGTCATGACGTTTCAGTAAGTGACGTGACTTTTCTAAGAATTAACACATTTTCAAGCCCTTACAACGTCCTAGGTATGTTCCATCGTCAAGTAATTCAAACTCTATTACAGTGGTTCCAAAATGGTTTGTGTTCGATTATGAGAAAATGTGATTGATAGCTTGGTCGTTTGGCCACCGCGACCAATCTTCGATTATTTCAATTAATCGGAACACCACTAGTGTAGGTAGAATTGGTCCCAAAAAACTGTAGTGTGTCTGGGTAGAATAGGTCTTAAATAGTATTTCCCCTGGTTACTTGAATGCCTGTATTGTATCTGGATAGAATAGGTCTTAAATAGTATTTCCCCTGTTTGCTTGAAGACCTATATTGTGTCTGAGTAGAATAGGTCTTAAATAGTATTTCCCCTGTTTGCTTGAATGCCTATGTTGTGTCTGGATAGAATAGGTCTTAAATAGTATTTCCCTTGTTTGCTTGAATGCCTATATTGTGTCTGGATAGAATAGGTCTTAAATAGTATTTCCCCTGTTTGCTTGAATGCCTATGTTGTGTCTGGATAGAATAGGTCTTAAGTAGTATTTCCCCTGTTTGCTTGAATGCCTATATTGTGTCTGGATAGAATAGGTCTTAAATAGTATTTCCCCTGTTTGCTTGAATGCCTATGTTGTGTCTGGATAGAATAGGTCTTAAATAGTATTTCCCCTGTTTGCTTGAAGACCTATATTGTGTCTGGGTAGAATAGGTCTTAAAAGTATTTCCCCTGTTTGCTTGAAGACCTATATTGTATCTGGGTAGAATAGGTCTTAAATAGTATTTCCCCTGTTTGCTTGAATGCCTATGTTGTGTCTGGATAGAATAGGTCTTAAATAGTATTTCCCCTGGTTACTTGAATGCCCATATTGTATCTGGATAGAATAGGTCTTAAATAGTATTTCCCCTGTTTGTATTTCCCCTGTTTGAATGCCTATGTTGTGTCTGGATAGAATAGGTCTTAAATAGTATTTCCCCTGTTTGCTTGAATGCCTATATTGTGTCTGGATAGAATAGGTCTTAAATAGTATTTCCCTGTATTTCCCTGTTTGCTTGAAGACCTATATTGTGTCTGGGTAGAATAGGTCTTAAAAGTATTTCCCCTGTTTGCTTGAAGACCTATATTGTATCTGGGTAGAATAGGTCTTAAATAGTATTTCCCCTGTTTGCTTGAATGCCTATGTTGTGTCTGGATAGAATAGGTCTTAAATAGTATTTCCCCTGGTTACTTGAATGCCCATATTGTATCTGGATAGAATAGGTCTTAAATAGTATTTCCCCTGTTTGCTTGAAGACCTATATTGTGTCTGGATAGAATAGGTCTTAAATAGTATTTCCCCTGTTTGCTTGAAGACCTATATTGTGTCTGGGTAGAATAGGTCTTAAATAGTATTTCCCCTGTTTGCTTGAAGACCTATATTGTGTCTGGGTAGAATAGGTCTTAAATAGTATTTCCCCTGGTTACTTGAATGCCCATATTGTATCTGGATAGAATAGGTCTTAAATAGTATTTCCCCTGTTTGCTTGAAGACCTATATTGTGTCTGGATAGAATAAGTCTTAAATAGTATTTCCCCTGTTTGCTTGAATGCCTATGTTGTGTCTGGATAGAATAAGTCTTAAGTAGTATTTCCCCTGTTTGCTTGAATGCCTATATTGTGTCTGGATAGAATAGGTCTTAAATAGTATTTCCCCTGTTTGCTTGAATGCCTATGTTGTGTCTGGGTAGAATAGGTCTTAAGTAGTATTTCCCCTGTTTGCTTGAATGCCTATATTGTGTCTGGATAGAATAGGTCTTAAATAGTATTTCCCCTGTTTGCTTGAATGCCTATATTGTGTCTGGATAGAATAGGTCTTAAATAGTATTTCCCCTGTTTGCTTGAATGCCTATGTTGTGTCTGGATAGAATAGGTCTTAAATAGTATTTCCCCTGTTTGCTTGAAGACCTATATTGTGTCTGGGTAGAATAGGTCTTAAAAGTATTTCCCCTGTTTGCTTGAAGACCTATATTGTATCTGGGTAGAATAGGTCTTAAATAGTATTTCCCCTGTTTGCTTGAATGCCTATGTTGTGTCTGGATAGAATAGGTCTTAAATAGTATTTCCCCTGGTTACTTGAATGCCCATATTGTATCTGGATAGAATAGGTCTTAAATAGTATTTCCCCTGTTTGCTTGAAGACCTATATTGTGTCTGGATAGAATAAGTCTTAAATAGTATTTCCCCTGTTTGCTTGAAGACCTATATTGTATCTGGATAGAATAGGTCTTAAATAGTATTTCCCCTGTTTGCTTGAAGACCTATATTGTGTCTGGGTAGAATAGGTCTTAAATAGTATTTCCCCTGTTTGCTTGAAGACCTATATTGTGTCTGGGTAGAATAGGTCTTAAATAGTATTTCCCCTGTTTGCTTGAAGACCTATATTGTGTCTGGGTAGAATAGGTCTTAAATAGTATTTCCCCTGTTTGCTTGAATGCCTATGTTGTGTCTGGATAGAATAGGTCTTAAATAGTATTTCCCCTGTTTGCTTGAAGACCTATATTGTGTCTGGGTAGAATAGGTCTTAAATAGTATTTCCCCTGGTTACTTGAATGCCTATATTGTATCTGGATAGAATAGGTCTTAAATAGTATTTCCCCTGTTTGCTTGAATGCCTATATTGTGTCTGGATAGAATAGGTCTTAAATAGTATTTCCCCTGTTTGCTTGAAGACCTATATTGTGTCTGGATAGAATAGGTCTTAAAGAGTATTTCCCCTGGTTACTTGAATGCCTATATTGTATCTGGATAGAATAGGTCTTAAATAGTATTTCTCCTGTTTGCTTGAAGACCTATATTGTGTCTGGGTAGAATAGGTCTTAAATAGTATTTCCCCTGTTTGCTTGAAGACCTATATTGTATCTGGGTAGAATAGGTCTTAAATAGTATTTCCCCTGTTTGCTTGAAGACCTATATTGTGTCTGGGTAGAATAGGTCTTAAATAGTATTTCCCCTGTTTGCTTGAAGACCTATATTGTGTCTGGGTAGAATAGGTCTTAAATAGTATTTCCCCTGTTTGCTTGAAGACCTATATTGTGTCTGGGTAGAATAGGTCTTAAATAGTATTTCCCCTGTTTGCTTGAATGCCTGTTGTATCACACGCCCTCGTGTCTTTGCAAAGATTAAAGATTTAAAAATAATATATGTTTTAACTTACATTCAGCCGTACTTATGCTTATACTTATTGCTTATACCTACCTGTTAAGCTACCTACCATAAGTCGAGTGGAAACGAGGTGTAAACACAAAACAACCCCATACATAACTTCTTTGAGTGGCATTTTAGAAAAGTTGGGAAGTACAATATAGAACAAACTTTATGGATAAAAACTTCTTTTTATTCGTGACAACGGTACAAGAATCTGTATCGAAACGTGGCACTCATGAATAAAAGAAGTTGTTATCCATACAGTTTGTTCTATATTGAACCCCATACATATTCCATTCCATATTTTCCCCCACAGGACAGCGCTGTGCTTCGTGAGCGTCTGCTACACCATCCTGAGCACGACCATCATGGTGGTGGGCTTGTTCCATCAGATCATCCTCATCAGCCAAAACTTGACCTCCCAGGAGCTTCACCAAGCTGCCACCAGGGGGATGACACGGATGGGTGTGTTTGCCGTCAATAACGTCAACAACCACGGCTTCATTCGCAACTGGGTAGAGTTCCTCCTGTCGCACGGCCGGAAAGCCTCTCCGGCCATCCCATCATAACACAGCCCCATGCCACAAACACACGTGGAGTTCTTTCGAAGCATATTTATTATTTTATTCAGGTCAGTTTTGCATAAGAGGTTTAAATTTTCTGAGATAGCATTTTATTGTACAGTGACTGTAGTTTTATATAAAAAATACTGCTCAATACCAAGTCACAGGAGTTATTTTGTTCCGGAGAAGTTCAAAATGAATCAGTTAGAATATTTGGTATTTGTATGATGCAAATTTGTATAATGCTAGGATGTATATTTATGCTTGTTGATGTGAATGTCAAGGAAGGGGAGAGAGTATGATATTTTTTATTGTGGAAGGCTTTCTTCCAACTCCGTGTATATATATATATACATTATGTTCCATCATGTATATGTTCTAAGAATCATATTGATTATGTGAAGGTGTCAGTACCGTTTGTCAGTACTTCATGGGTTAATATTCACTCTTCTTCGCCATCAAGAAATTCAAATGGCTGCTGAGCAAGATGAACTCTTGAAGATCCGGGTTAGAATTGTTCTTCAGCAAACCGTCCTCCTCGTAAGAGGCGATTAAAGGGATCGGTGGTCAGACTCCCTGACTTATTTTACACATGTCAACATATCCTACTGCGTAGATTGATGCTCATGCCGTTGATCACTGGACTGTGAGGTCCAGACTTATTTACAGACCGCCGCCATATAGCTGGAATATTGCTGACTGTAGCATTAAACAACAAACAAGCTTTTTTGGGTGTGTGGGGTGGGGTGGGTGGGGGTGGGGGTAAGTTAGCAGTTAAAGCATTCACCCCGATAACCCGGGTTTGGTTCACCACATGGGTGCAATGTGTGAACCCCATATCATGTGCTCCCTGTTCCGTGATACTGCTGGAATTATGCTAAAAACGGTATAAAACCATTCTCACTCACTCTCAAGAAATATTATGTCTAATTAATATTAAACAGGTCATAGCACCATTTTATGCAATACTATATTCAGTGCAGTTGGGTTCATGTGATGCCGGATTTAAATATTTGTAAGGAAACACAGGTACGCATTATGATAAGGAAACATTATGTTATGATCAGTTACACTATTAACTTTTTGAAATAGTGATGTTTTTTTGCATCAAAGAAATTCACACAAAATTAGATAATAGAGGTATAATTTGAGAATTATGTGTTCACAGCTTTTCTGGACCTCTGTCATAGCAGCCGTGTTCACACATCAGCACTTGATTTCACTATATGAAACATGCCAAGCCATGGCTATTGATAGTATTCATGTCAGAATTTTACAAACATGACCGACTTACTAAGTTTTCCAGCTCTACACTTGATTTATTGTTCTCAGTGTTATGTGGAGTTTGTCATTGTTTTCATTGTCACACTGAGGAATTTCATGTGTATTTGGGCGGTGGGATAGCCCAGTGGTTAAAGCACTCGCTTGTCATGCTGAAGACCCGGGTTTGATTCCCCACATGGGTCCAATGTGTGAAATCTGGGCACATGAGCTTTGTCTGTGCAATCTGGTGTCTCCCACGGAATATTGCTAAAAGGGCCGTGAAACTAAACTCACTCACTCATTCACTGATGTTTAAATGCAAAGACAGCTGTGATCTTGTTGAAATAGGTGCTTGGTGCATCATATTATATTTTTATGAACGAAAATGATTCATTAGAAGCAAACCGCTGTCATTTTCAATCATTCCCAGGGGCAGCGAGGTAGCCTTGTGGTTAAAGCATTCGCTCATCACGCAGAAGACCCACATGGGTACAATGTGTGAAGCCCATTTCTGGTGTCCCCCGTCGTGATATTGCTGAAATATTGCTAAAAGCGGCATAAAACTATACTATATCAGCTGTGAACATATTTTGGTTTCGTGCCACAGGATATTTCAGTCCGGAGTAAATGAAGAAATATCACTGGCAGTATAGTTAGGTACCAATATGGTGAGTGAGTGAGTGATTATGGTTTTACGCAGCTTTTATCAATATTCCAGCAATATCTTTGGCAGATTCAGGGGTCAACACACACACACACACACACACACACACACACACACACACACACACACACCTTTGAAAATGACAAGACCAGATTGAAGTTAATGTTTTGCATTGGTGGACCCCTGAACACCCCCTTTTGAAAATTCCTAGATCCGCCTATGAATATCACATATGCTTAATGCTGCACTCAGCAATATTCCAGCTGTCTGTAAATAATCAAATCTGGACCAGACAATGCAGTGATAACATCATGAGCATGTAGGTTTTCATATCCCAAGTTTATACATTCAAGTCTTGCAGATATTAAAATATACAAGCTTGATTAAGCCAATTAGCTTTTGTACTTTTTTTTCTGCATACCCATGTCACATACTTTTATATGCTTGATTGTCTGGGTCAGACAATCCAGTGATCAAGAGCATGAGCATGTAGGTTTTCATATCCCAAGTTAATACATTCAAGTCTTGCAGATATTAAAATATACAAACTTGATTAAACCAATTAGCTTTTGTACATTATTTTTTGCATACCCATGTCACATACTTTTATATGCTTGATTGTCTGGGTCAGACAATCCAGTGATCAAGAGCTTGAGCATGTAGGTTTTCATATCCCAAGTTAATACATTCAAGTCTTGCAGATATTAAAATATACAAACTTGATTACTCAATTAGCTTTTGTACATTATTTTTTGTATACCCATGTCACATACTTTGATATGCTTGATTGTCTGGGTCAGACAATCCAGTGATCAAGAGCATGAGCATCTAGATTTTCATATCATAAGTTAATATATTACATATTAATACAGTACATTATTATATGCTTGATATAGATATACTATTGTTGTACAGGACTTGAGTAGCCTGGAATTTTGTCTTCAAGCCATACGCATGATACATACTTGTTTGGGTTTGGGTCTCCTCTAATTTGTTTTAATCATCACAGGACAGGTTTCATGTGTTGCGAATCGATAAAGCTTTCAATATGTTTTTGCTAAAGTCCCTGTGTCATTTCTCACAGTGGTACAATGTGTGGTGGCCATTTTGGGTGATGCAAATATGACTTTGCTGGAATATTGCTAAAAGGCTGTAAACATCATTTCCACCTACTGTTAAACGTGACCGCTGCAAAATGCTGTTTGTGTTGTGTTTTCGATCTTCTGTAAAGATGTTCTGAAAATATTACTTCAGTCGTAAGAGGGGGCGGTGGGGTAGCCTAGTGGTTAAAGCATTCCTGTCACGCTGAAGACCCGGGTTCGATTTCCCATAGGGGTACAATGTGTGAAGCCCATTTCTGGTGTCCCCACTGTGATATTGCTGGAATATTGCTAAAAGCGGCGTAAAACTAAACTCGTAAGAATTACCACAATTCCAAGTTTTCCAACATTCCTTCTGTCTGTTCTCAGGTGTAGCTTTAGTCAGTGAAGGAGCAGTGGGGTAGTGGTTAATGTGTTTGCTTGCTATGCTGAAGGTCCAGGTTCGATTCCCCACATGGATACAATGTGTGTAGCCCATTTCTGGTGTTCCCCCCCCCGCCGTGATATTGCTGGAATATTGCTAAAAGCGGCTTCAAGCCCCTCACTCACTCAAGTCAATGAATTAGGGAAACAACAATGATGTCAGTTTGTGTTTTATGTAAATTTGACATGATTCCTATTATGCAAGGGTTTTAAACATTTGTTTCTCCCTCTGAACCAACTTATTCCACGAACTCATTTAAATGACATAAATTACTAACATGTTTACGGGCCGGTGGGATAGCCTAGTGGTTAAAGCGTCAGCTCGTCACGCTGAAGACCCGGGTTCGAATCCCCACATGGGTACAATGTGTGAAGCCCATTTCTGGTGTCCCCCGCCATGATGTTGCTGGAATATTGCTAAAAGCGGCGTAAAACTAAACTCAGTCAGTCAGACTAATATGTTTTCGACTTCCCAGTGTAGAACTGTAGTCAGATTGGTGAAATATTGAACATGTCAAAGCCTCAATACCTTCAGCCAATCAGGACAGACATCGGGATAATCCAGCTTCCATTTCATTATTGCAATATATGTTTTGTATAACCAAACACTGACTGTTTTGTCATGGCGCTTAATAAATATATATGTCATTATTGAGATTTTATCATGATAATGATAGAGCATAGTTTAAATTTATGCAAAGATTTTTTTAGTGACATGTTACACATATTTTTTACGGTAAAACAAGACCAATCTTAATTTATGGTTGTCTTGTAGTAGGAACAGTCAGGGTATTCAGTCAAAAATGTCTTGACATTTATATATTGTTGAATCCACTAAAAAGATTCTGATGCAGACAAAGTCATTTGTTGTTGCTTGTTACTTTGGTCTACGAAAGTTTCACTGCTATTTCTGTGGGCTGTTCTGTACGGAATTGAACATACATATCATTAGCCTTGTCACTTAACTCTGCTTAATGCCCAGAGGCCCAGATAAGCTGCATATCCGGGTAACATACGCATAGAAAATTTCCATTTACACGTTGAAAAATATTTGTTTCGTACCAATTACGCATTTAAAATGTTAGATACGCAAAAAGTTTTAAACAAATGTGTACGGAATATATTTATAAATATTGCTTGCGTAATGAAAAAGACATTGATTGCTATCAAGTTGTACTGTTAGTTTAGGACAAGTGTTGTACTGTCAGTATAGGATGAGTGATTTTTTTATGAAATCATTTCCATTTTATTTAAGTTAGTTTTGATTAGATATGACATAAGGCAGAACATACCTGTTTAGTAAACTTACTCAATGACATAATACTTAGGTGAGTAAAATGACTGAAATACGCACATATTTGAAAGCAGTGGGTAACAGAAAATGAAGTACCCACTCAACATTCATAATACCCACTTCAAAAAAATACAGTGGGTACAGTACCCACATGAGCTAAATCTTATCTGGAGCTCTGATGCCATAGTATATAGGGCCTGTAAGTCGTGCGAGGTGCTACTTCTGGTACTAAGCTGGTTCCCTTCTCCCTTTGCGGATGCCAGCTTGCGATATGTGAGATGCGGCCCAGCTTACTTCCGGCACCAGATTTCCGGTGACAAGCGTGTATATTCAAGAACCAGTTCTGGTTCCAAATTGCAAGACCCGCCAAATATGACTTTATTAGACTGAACCAAGTGTACAACCATGCTTGGCTGTCACAGCTTTTGATAGTTGTAATAGTTTGCTAATTTAGATGGTTAGATCGGAAATTTGTTTTCCTGCAAGGATTATTGATTCCTTACTGTCAACTGACAACCATGAGACCATTAAAAAGGTATGAAACGTTGTATGTCACCAAAAGTTCTAAGGTCTCGCGAAGTGGCGTGACCTACTTACTGGCCCTATTTATTTGATTTCAAATAGCAAAGTGATGTAAGACAAGGCATCTTATGACACTTATTTACCAGCATCTGTGATTCATATAACACATTGGTAAGATGGTAAGATGATGCATATAGTGTAGTTCATCAAGTATAGGGGCTGGTGGGGTAGCCTAGTGGTTAAAGCGTTCACTCGTCACACTGAAGACCTGGGTTTGATTCCTCACATGGGTACAATGTGTGAAGCC